CCGAGGAGCGGATGTTGCACAAGTTCACAAAGTCCCAGAGAAAAAGTCAAACAAGGACGAGACCTGTCTTCTTTTATTACCACATGAAACGCTAACAGTAATTTAGCGTGAGGGAACTTTTATTGGCTGGATGGTACAATTGAAATTTTAGTGCATGATGCGGCACGTGCAGCCAACATAGATATTTTTATTTTGCTAACAACGTGTGCTGACATTTATATTTTCCTAAGGCTGATCCTACACACAGGACTCCAGTGTCTTCTCTGTTCTGACCCCTCTCTGATGTACTTAATGTCAGGAAGTTTAGTGCACACTTATTGTCCTACCTCACCTACCCTCTTGGTCACACACCATTAGCCATCCCACATGGGAGGTTGGGGGTCATCACGTATCGGTCAGGCAATTATCCCAGGGGACCAGATGTGTTTCAGTGACCTGAAATGGGCTCACCTATTCTTGGTTTTATCAGTACATTGCATTTCTAGGAAACAGGAAGTCCTAGTTTAGTAGGTGAGCTGGGGAATGATGATTTAAAAAAAAAGGAAAAGGTTAATGTCCTCGAAACAATTCCTGGTGAGAAACTGGGCCATGCCATTGACAAAACCAAAAGCAAAAACCGAATGAATTGTTTTCTAATGCCATTTTTAAAACATTGAAAATCTGAATTCAATGGACATTTTTCTCCATCCCTTTAAACCTTAAATAATAAATAAAGTCCATGAAGACCGTATTGTTGATGTTGACATTTTGGCTGCTGTCATAAAAGCCACTGCCAGTCATGTGTCATTTACTGAATCACTGAAACGTGAGTGCTGACAACACCCTGACCTGGAGGTTCTCTGCTGCAGATGTGCTCAGAACAAAAATGATGGTGTGACAGGTTGTTTGAAAAACCCACTAGTCCATGAGGACAAACATAATCATTCTAATGTATTTCCCACCACAGGTTTTGATTTACCACTTCCTGTTGAAGGGAAAGTTTTCTCACCTGTTTTAAAAGTAATAAACAGGATGTGTCTGTGTCTCACAGCCACAGCATGGGATTTCAAATTAGGACCCAACGTGTTTCCTAAAAGTTGTTGTGATAAAAGTAATTTAAAATTAAGAAGAAGAAACAAAAAAAAGAATTTGGATTAGTGTACAAGAATGAAAGAAAGAATCTTCAAATTACGTGAAGTTGCCGTGCCAAAAAAAATAAATAAAATTAAATAAAATCGAATCTAATTTTTTTCTTCTCTTCTGTAAGCCTTTTTTTCTCACAGTTACATCTGTTTTTTCCCGATTGAGACACAGTTACCATAACACAGTCTGATTGAAACAGAAATCCACAAGTTGCTCTCATAAACCCAGTCCAGAAACACAAACCTCTGGGGCCGCCTTGACTACAGCTTGTTAGAGCAAAGAAAATAATCTCCTAACTGTGAAATAAACGCTGTGTCAAGATGTGACTGACATAGAAAAACAGTGTTTATAGATGTGAGAGAAAAGAGACACAAATGTGTTTTAGGTAGGAATTGTATTTGGTTTAAAGTTGATCGTGTTTTCTCTGGCTGAAGGTTGATTTTTCTCTGTTGGTCGAGATAAAAATGAGAATCCAGACGTTTTAGGTAGAAACTGATTTGAAAAAACATTTATAGTAAAATCTACAGTAATGTCAAAAATGTATGATTTATTTAATTAAATTCAGCTGCTATGTTGCCTTTAACATTGCTTTGGTTTAAAGTTGTAATTGAATGTGATAGTCTGAATGTCTCTGTCAATTCTACTCCTAAAAATGAAATTCTGGTTAAAAATCTTAAAATCTGGTGATAACAATATTGGTGGAAACAAACCTTAAATGTCATTTGTAATCCTGTGCAATCCAAACATATTATTATGCTCTGGTTTTGATACAACCACTCTACAAGATAACCTCCCCTCCTAAAAGCACTTATTCAAAATAAATAAACAAATGAAAGCAAATTCTCCAAGGGAGGTCAATTTATTTGACATCCTTGAGAAAATAACGGCACCTGTTCAGCTTTTCTGAAAAAAACCTTTTCTACTCTTTAGATTCCTAAGGTGACCATACGTCTGCTGTGGCTGCTGGGAAAACATATTTGATGGTCGCCTCTGTAAGACAAGCCCCTCAGCATATGCATATGTAAAAGGACTTATTCTAAGGCCCTGAAAGTCGTAATTATAGCAAATGCACATTATACCAAACACACTGAAGAGTAGAATATTGAATTTCACCTTGACTGATTTCAACAGTTTGCATTGAATCACCAAGTGTTTCCGTCAGACGTCTCATATCTTTGACACGGAAAACCTTCTAACCACTCATCGGCTCTCTCAGGATGCAGGTCTGGATCACTGAGGCTCCTGACTGCCAGTCATCACAGCAGGAAAAACGTATCTCTTTAGATTCAATCAGAGCCACTTCAGCAGCCACCTGATATGTGGTCCTCGCATCGTATGTGGTAAACGCTTACGCTGCACAGAGAATTCAAGTTTTTTTTTCTTTTCCTATTTCTTAGAGAAGAAAAATCACCAATATTATATGTTATGGCTGATGTTTTCATAATAATTATATTTATTTAAAGGATGTGGAAAAAGTTGTAAAAAAAAGTCTACGTGAAAGTTGAAAGAAAGCAGCCAGCCGCAGCCATAAGCCCTTTCAGCAGTGAGGCTGTTTTCCCAGTCACCCGTCATCTAACACTCACAGCCTAATTCAGGCTGCTGCTCACTGATTGCACCACAGAAGTTCGACTCAACTCCAGGTTAAGGTTCATGTGAATCCGATCCTGATCTTTTTTTTTCTTTGTTCCCTCTTGTGTGTCTGAAACATTTTCTTGAACTCTGTGCTAATCATTGTTGAACATAATTACACCACGTGCAGTACTGTGTCTGTGGTTACAGAACAAACATCAGTTTTTACTGTCAATCACTGCCTCATCATTAAGTAAAGCATTGAATCATCCATAGATACAGTATATGTATATTACTGTATATATACATAAATATATATGTAAATGTGTATATATATTTATATATGTATTTATACATATATACTGTATATATATGTATATATATTATATACAGTATGCGTATACAGATAATATACATTTTAATTCGTTTTTCCACATTCAGAGTGAAAGACAAAAGGGAAAAACGGTAGAAAAGGGTCACTTATTTGATCATATTTAAATTATTGAGTGTGTAGTTTACGCATTAAAAGTTAGAAATTGTCTTTGAGCGTCAATTATTTCCCTGCAACTGAAGAGCCGCTGATAGTCGCGGTGGAAATAGAAGCTCACAGGTGACTGATGATCAGCAAGGAGACATTTCCAGGTTTGACAAGAGAAAAGCTGCAGCCTTAATTTCTCGGGAAATTTAAAGTGTGTTTTCACACCACACGTCAGCTGTAGGCAGCAGGTAACACTATGACGTGCATATTAATGTGTCGGAGCGGGAACAGGTTGGAGTTTAGGTTTGACAAATGTAAGATGAAAAAAAGACGAGTGTTCCCTTTGTACTCTTTAGGTAATGATGTTTCTGGGTAGAATCTGTCAGCGTTCCCATTTGATCTGATTAGCGTGTTGGCACCAGTGATCAAAGGAACCGGCTTCATTTGCACACTATCAGTTCTCCTTTGAACCTCAGATGGTGAGAGTAAAATAATTTGGCAGGGGAAAAAAACAGACTCCGAGGCTTCGTGGCTCCAGCGGGGAGTCGCAGAAGCTGTGCGTTATATTAGCATTTTGCAGATAATGTGGAGGGAACATAAAATAAATTGGATGAAGACGTGACTTTTTGTGGACTTGCAGGACAAAGAGACCATAGTGAACCTCTGCCTCTCTGATGGAACTGCTCCGGCTCCTGCCTTTAGGGCCGGTGATACTGCGTTTCCTCGCATCCACTTCACAACAAACTTTTGGAGGATTACTCTGAGTTCAGCTCACTGCCACAGCCTTTTCTTCCTTAGGGCTACAGACATTTGAAGGTTAAATGTATAGATATATTTTTATAGAACGTTCAGAGTGGTAAAACATACCCTCGTCCCTCGTGTCAATTGTGGCGGGACACTGGAATCATCTGCTTCCCGATTTAAACTGCAGCAACCGAGGCAGAAAGGAAAGTGTCGACTTTGCTTTTTTTATCTGCACAAAAGAAGCATCGCATCAAAGAGTCCTCAGAATATAATCTTTGCGTCTGAATTTCTGCTGAGCCGCTGTTTTGTCGAACAAAAGGCCACTGGTGGAAATGCAACACTGAAACGTTGAGATACCAACATGCTGTGTTTGGGGTTTCAGGGAATGAACGACTCATCTCACTCACAACAGGTTAAAGACTAAGAACAGGTTACAAACATCCGGGGTGGATCGCACATTCACCTGCAGATGCTGATGTCTGGTTCCTTTATACCTTTTCCTGCTTTTTACTCCAGCTATGAAAAAGCCATAAAAACACAACAAAAATCCATGGCAGCTCTGTTTTTAAAAGAGAAAATTACAAACTTGCAGATACTTTCTGTATAGTATCTATACTAGTATTTATAGTTGATGTCGTTCAACCTTTTTAACCTTCACAATGGTTTAAGTTTTTGGAAAAAAATCTTTAAAAAAAAGATATATTTTAAGATTATTTTTTCTAATTTCTTCTAATTTCCTTCTATTCTGATGACCACATCCTCTCCCATTCCATAAAGTACTGCCACAGCAACAGGTTTTTCTCATTTTATCACCCTCTCTGTTTGTGCTGCTGATGCCAGACTGACATTTCTACATTTATTCCTACTAAGTGTCATTGTTATTTCCATAGGCAGCTTCTACCATTAATTACACAGCTGCAATCACTTTACTGGGATCATGAGATTAGCAGCACACCTGCAGCACATGTTCGTTAATGTGGTGATTTCACATCAACTGAACTCAGGAGGGTTCTGGTCTTTGATTTAATTCTGTCGACATGGACTGCGGTGCTCATACTGTTGTTGTGTCTTTTTGCCATTTCCCTAGTGCCAGCATGCCAAAGCGCATGGCTCTGATCTGCTTCCTGTCTCTGGTCATGCTAATGAGCATCCTGGGAAACCTGCTGGTCATGGTGGCCGTGTGCAAAGACAGACAACTCAGGTGAGATGGAGTTCCCTTTTCTGAAACAAGATTTTTGTCACACATGGTATTGGATAACATGCACAAGGTAGCTATACATAACATAGAACAAATATTTATGTTGTTTGTGAACAAAATGTAAACAACAGAGACCAATAGATTGCATAACTACAACTGAGTTTAAAGTAGTTTCCCATTGCTGAAGACATAACCCACACTGAGTGACAGTATCTGTGTTTGTATGTGTGTTTTCATCCTCACACACTCAGCATGACACACGGTGGGAAACAAGGATGGTAATAGTGGTGATATGTATGTGTGACGGTAATTGATGAGTAATTAGCACCTTCTTATTCGCCTTCCGTGGGTGTCAGCTGCTCCCCGCCGGGTCACTCTGTGTGATCACATTGATAAGAATTGCAATTACAAAAGAAAAAGAATTACGAGTTATACACAATGCATATGTTACACACACATACCCACACACACACACACACTTGTACCATTGTATTTAACCTATCCAGTACATGTTAGTAAAGACTTCCGCATAATATGACGTGATGGGCTGGATTCAGCTGGCGAGCCATGAGTTTGACACATGACATTTAGACAGATTAAAAAAACATCTTCTCTAAAGTCCACCAGTTGAAACTACTAAATAAACCATGACATATTTTATTATTTCATAACTTTTTTTCCAAATTTTAAGAAAAAATTGCAAAGGATCAGCTCTTGACATCCAGCAACTGTAATCATTCAAAGAGGAAGTTATTAATTAGATTATAAACTGTATAAAGGAAGAATTTCACTTTTTTCTGATATCTCACACCTTAGTGTTGATGCAGGAAAATACTTTCAAATTGGCTTATTATTTTCCATTTCTATGACACGGGTTCAAACCCTGCTGGCCACTAATAGTATTACTGCATGGAGCCTTCGTGTCCTCCCTGTCAGGCTTAGGTGTTAACTGTTTGCTCTACATTGACCATCGTTATCAGTGTGGTTGACTGGCTGGTTTGGTTCAATATGTGGCTCGGACCATAACTGCTTGGTTCCCACAGCAAAAATATTATAGATATGTAACTTTTTATGTCCTAACCTGTGACCCATGGTCCTTATCCTCCTGTATTGAGCGCGTCTGTGTGATGCACTGCAACACATTTTGTCTGATATTTATTTCAAGCACCAAACGTGGCGTCATCCTCGCTGACTATGACACACGCTGTCTTCTGGTATGGTACGTTGGCCAGTTCTAAACTGTCATGAGTCAGACAACTCAGGACAGGGTGTTCTTAGTTTTTTTGGCAGCTGGGTTTTCCTTTTCTTTTGTATATATTTTTTTCTATTAAAAACTACTGACCTTTTGAGAACCTTTTGAGAACCGTCTGCCTTTAATCTGATCCAAGGGCGCTCTCAGTGAAGCAAAACTTTAGTACAGCCTAAAGCTCTCTTGTTTAAAAGCTTCGTTTGCTATGACTAAGAGTAGCTAGCTGCCTGTTGGTGAGAGTGACAGACTAATGGAAGACACTAATGGCCGTCTGCTTTTGCTAAAGCTGTTATTACCTGGAGTTGAAATCCTGAGAGTCTTTGTTTCTGCTATGTCAGTTCAAATCTGTTGATGTCCCAGATTTTTTGGGTTATTTTTTTAAATACAACAGCTTGTCTGATTAATAAATTGCAACTCTGAGTCTCTGTCTGACTAACTGCTGTCTATGTGTCTTTGTGCAGATAGAACCTTCACTGTACTCATTCACACAGCAGCTGCGGACTTGTATCTCAGTTCAGTCTCACCCACACCCAAGCTCTCAGCCAACTCAGTGGCCTCCAAACAACTTTTATACAAACGCAGTTTCACAATCAACGCGACTACTTTAATGAGGAAAAAAAAATGTCATTAACAAACTTCTGTAATTATCAGAAATAATAGGCTACGCTAACAACTATGGTTATAATATCTGATATATTTGTGGTATATAATCAGTGACGTATGGATTTCCTTATAATGAGTTCACCTCAGTTTATGTGGACCTGCCTAGAAGCTCCAGGTGACGTTACATGTCACATATCAAAACGTCAGAATATTTTCCTGATTTTTAAAGAAATGTATTTAAAAAATATAAATTCAAATAAATGTGTGTAAAAAATAAGATAACGACTGAAAAGAACTGCTGCGGTCCTAAAGAAAAACCTTAAAAAAC